AGACTGTTCTATTATTTTATAAACTACTGACAACACGTCTCTGAAATTCGAAGCAAAAATTTGGCATTTACTTTCAGAAAATGAGAAACGGTCAAAATAATGAAAAATGACCTCCAATAATGCAAAGAAAACAAGTTGATATTCATTTAGAAACAACAACACTAATGTTTTAACTCAGGAAGAGGTCAGGAATCACTATTTGGTGGAATAACAATGAGGTATTCAATGGGGTTCAGTCCAATGGGCTCTTATTTTTCCAGACCTGTATTTCGGCTTCGGCCCCATTTACATTTACTCTGACATAAAAAAGAAAAAGAGAAAAAAAAACAACAACAAAAAAGCAACCACACTGTCCACTACCATCAAGACTTGCTGGTCAGTGGAGTTAAGCTGTGGCTCAAACAGACTCAAATGATTCCAGATTGACTTTAAAATCCGACAAGTTGCTTTTCCACCATGAGGTTTTCTAATGACAGGTAATCAGCTGTGATGTCATTAACTCAAATCCAAATGAGGCAGGATCAGGATTTCTTCAGTGCACTTTAAAAAACACGTACATTATGATTTATAGAGGAATCAACACTTCATTACCCACATGTTTTAGAGAAAGAAAATAAGACCCTTAAGTGTCTTTCATTGTTATAAGAGAAATGATTTTGGACATCCTGTGCCTTCCTTGTATAAGATAGTGCGATGTGAAAAACGTTCATTAAATGTGTCCAGATGAGCGGTTTTCGTTTTAAAGCCACTTTGGTGCATTAACGGGTCTGCTAAGTGCTGTAAAAAGAAGAAGAAAAAAAAAGAACCGGTGGCATAAAAATGCTGTCAGACAGACATCTCGGCTGGCTCATGTGGATGAGAAACCATAAAAGTGTTGCGCATTTTTATGGTTTCACATCACGAGAACCAGGGATTTCTCCGTCCGAGTACTGCCTGTACCTCTGGAAACAATACAGGAAGTCTTCCTGCCTTTATGACTTCCTCCTCGGCTCGGGCCACAGGAAGCGCCGTGCATGTAGGACATGGATGCAGCTTTTGTTCCCACAGCTGATGTGGGAATGTTAAGGTCAGTCCTTTTTCCCCTCGCTTGAAAAATTGCTTCCTTCCCGTCATTTCAACTCAAATGCCAGCGGTGACCTCTGATAATCTGATTTCGTCCCATCTCTGCAGGGATCAGGGCTAACGGCACCGCCGCGGAGTCGACGCACATGCGGATCCGACGGGGCCGTGCGGAGTAGCCATCCGAGCCGCAAATACCACAGCCAACGCAAACGTCCTCTAATGTATTTCCAGCTCCCGTTTTCCTCACCGCCCCCTCTTTCACATAGTGTACTTAGCCAAACAAAAAGCCTTTCTCTTCGTGCCCCTGCCTCCCTCCCCGTCCACGTCCCAACCACCCACCCAACACTCACTCTCAGTTTTCACCAGAGTCTCTTTGCCACCGTTATGGAAGTGCCTATGTTACACGACGTGCAAAATTAGCTCCGTCACTCCGAAGCCGGGTGGCTGCTCCAAAGAGGAAGGGAGGTCAAAGCCATAAAAACTTACCACATGGACTGTGTGAGAGGGGAGAGGGGGGCAAAATGAGAAGGGGAAGTAGAAGAAGGAGGAGGGGGAGGTGGGAGTAGTGGGAGAATGTCAAAGGAGGTCGGGGGGAGTCCGGGAGGCCTCTGTGTTTTACTTTTCCTTGAAAGCTCGCTGAAAACCACAGACGCATGGGAGGCAGAATTCCCCTCACAGCAGGAGAACCAGAGAGGGAGGGGATCCGGGGTGGGTGTGGGCTGCTGGTTTCGCAACTCCACAGCGTCTGTGATCAATCTGAGTCCGACTCGGGCTGAGAACATTACAGGTGAGAACGTATACGCGTCTAGGAGAAGCTGTGAGAACCTGGCAGGGAAAAACATCCAGCTACACAAAGAGAGGAACTTAAAGGAGCCAACGCTTCGACATGCCCAGACACAGAAACCTCCCCACAACATAACACCGTAAGCCTCTCCAACCTATGGGAAAGAGGTGCTTCCCACTGGGTACGTGTGACCAAATGGGGATGACTGCATTTTTAGGGGTGGGTGGCGGGTTAATCCTTGCTTTTTGGGGGGCCGGCCTCTTCCCTTTGTGGATCAGGACAAGAGCAAAGCTGTTTTTCTTTTTTTTTAAATGTAGGAATGAGGCAAAGGTGAGAGTTCAGGCTGTGATAATAAACTTTATGTGATCAACTTAACACTTGACAGGTTGATTTTATTTCAGTTCGAAATATTGTTGCATGTGCTGATGGCTAATGCTAAACTTGTATGCAGATATTTTCCATTCAACTGACAAGTTCTGTGCAAACGCATCAGGACAGCAGATCACGAGAACTGCCATGTGCAAAATGAAGAGGGGGAAAAAATGAAAGAGCTGCGCCATCTAGTGGAGCATTTAGATTTTTTTATTTCTGTCGTAAACCTGAAATAAACTCTAGCCTGCTGCCAAAGACACAAAAAGTTAGAAAATTGAGTCGATCTTGTGATTTCTATCTTAAATTAGTAAAAGTTACCCAGATAATTACCTTTTTTTTTATTTAAAAACACAAGTTCATGATGTATTCAGCTAATTTGTATAATTTATTCTAATTAAAAGAAAAATTCTTGTGTAGTTGTGATAATGTAGGTTTCTAAAGGAATGACTGGTCAGTTTTTCTCAACTGTAATGTGTATTTGTGTTTTTATCTCTTTGAAAGCTCAGCGCTTGTGTTTAACTGTATCTCATTTCCCCTATAAATGGAGCTACTGCTGCCATTAACTCTTATTTTTATTGCTTTTCTCCTGGTACTGCATTTCTGTGATGTTTAGCTGTGAACGCGTTGCTACATTTGTCCCTGTAATTATTATTTTTGTTAATTTAATTATTTAAAGCTACAGAGCAGCGATGTTGCTATAAAATCTGTCAGGTCACAGAATTATGCAGCCGTCTGCATGGGAACGAGGACCTGTGGAAGGGGAATATAATCACCTCATAAAAAAAACAACTCTAGAATGACCTCGCCTCATTCCACTTGAATAATTACATGCAAATCCTGGAAGAAAAAGAAGAAAAGAAAAGAAGAGGTCATACTCAGGCGGCCTCGATGGACCCGCAGTTTTCCCCTCATTACAGGAGTTTTGATTTTCCTCCAGCAGAGGAGGAAATCTGAGGTCAATGCCGGAGGGTGGCGTTTAAAACACAACAAAGCGCTGTTTTACGAGAAGTGATTTACAGCACATGGTGATTTAAAATCATTTCCAGCATTCCAGTAATCTGCTTGTGGGGCCTGATGACGGGTTTCACCGCTCTGGGTACAACAAGGACACCACATAGCATGAGTCAGGAGATTGTACCTTGATTTGCTGCTAGGACTTGTAATTTAAGGCACTCATTCTAACAAGGCAGCTGTGACAATCTGTGACTTATAATACATTTAAACGTGCCTTAAAAGGAAGATAAGGGGGGAAAAAACACCCAAAGGTATTAATACTGGAAGCTCTGAACTTCCTGATCAGAAATATAGACCTTTTAACTTACTAGGTTAATACAGTGACAATCATTACAGCTACTATCAAAATACTGTGGCAAGGAATTGCTTAAAAGAAAACATTTCTTTGTTCTATTGCTGAAAGTTTAGATTTTTTTCAGTGATTTTTTTTACAGCATACAAATGATCATGATCAGCAAATAACGAAGTTAAATGCTCTGTCTAGCTGTTGCAGCTCCCCCCCCCATATTAAAAGTTAAAATCTCAAAAAGAAAGAAAAAAAAAGTGAATTAAAAAGATAGATATGGGAATTAAAACCATTTCTAAAAGAATAAATATAAAATAAAGGTGTTGCAAAGGAAGCAGGAAGAGTCCTGCCCTGAGGTTTGCTTACATTTTCTTGATAACAGTCACACAACCCTTTTATCTCCAATCCATCTTGGATTTAGCTCCAGTGAGCTTTTGTTTATTCACACCAACTGCAGGTATGAGTACATCTCCACATTTTAAAAAAAAACAAAGTAGCAGAAATTTGAGTCTTTCTGTGGAGCAGTTGCAGTATGTTACCTGCTCTACACAGCCGTCTACTTAAGATATGAAGATGTAAAAACGTTCCAAGCACAGTCGAGCTGCTGGCGTCAACAGTAAAGTCATTGAAAGTGCAAATTATAAATAAAAGTGGACGCGTTTTTCAACATGAATAAAATGAGTTCTCTTTGGCTTGTTGACGTTGAACCTTTCATCCAATGCCATCGCACCAACAGTGAATCTAACCCGTTCAAATCATCAGGGATTTGAACAGGTCACGCTCCAGCTGACTGATGGTACTGAACCTGGTCCTGATCAACTGCAGCAACCCCAGATCACAGTGCTGCCCCTGCGTGGAGACACCAGGCATGATGGGTTCATCACTTCATCTGCTTCTCTTCCAGAGAAGGACTCTGATTACCCATTACCTTTATGCTCCTTTTAAAATTTTTACCATTTTTCTCCTGTTGACCTCACTGATTGGTGGTTTTCCTTTTAATGTCACCACAAATTTAAGTGAACACTAATGAAGGCCATTCATGGGGGTGGGGGGGATTTTCTGACCACATTTCTTATTTAAAGAGTGTGGTTCCCCACCATCCTTCCAGTTTTTAATGACGCGTTGAAAAGCTCTCAACTCAGTTTCAGTAGTTTTTGCGATCACTGCTTGATGAATACCCATAATCTGACCATTCTTAGACATCTTTTCCATGACCACAGGATGTCTTTTAATATGGTCGTTTAAGCAATAAGGTACTTATTACATCAGTTGGGTTAAATAACATGTTGCAGACTGGAAGACATTTGTCTATTCAGCAACTATCCAGTAGGAACCTCATACTTATTTACTCCGTTAAATTCAGGAAGCAATTTAACATTTTTAACTGTACAAAAACAAGTTTGTCTTTCTGATCTGCGCCACCTTTTCCAAACTTAAAGAGTGGATTCCCTTTTTGTCGTCATCAGCACAAAAACCACCAAGTAGTTTTCCAAAAATGTTTATTCATTAGAGTTGCTTCAAGAAGGGAACACTTCAGCACATTTCTATCGCTGCTCCAGATGTGATTTACCGAGTGATTTGAAAGAGACATTTCCAGTGGATTTTCGGAGGTAGTCGAGCTCCAGCAGGTCATTTCCTGCTGGCTCGTTCTCTGAGGCGGTTGATAAAACATCGGACAGATCCAAACTTCCACTTCCTTCACTCTCAAAAAACAAATCTGACGTTCCTACTTCATCGTCCGCTTCTTCCTTCCTGTAAACACTCTCCGTCTCCTCGTTGGTGACATTTGCTTTGGGACTTCCGCTCGTGTTCTTGACGTCATCCGATTTTGAGCTCCAGCCTTCTCCCAGCGCAGTCGTCACGTTTGGGAAATGACCCTGATGATGAACCGGAGACATCACACTGCTGAACGAAGCATTTCCCAGGACGTCCTCGTACGTAACAGCTTTCACCCTGGGCAGCCTGCGTATGACCGAGTTGCCCGTTGAATTGATGGCGATGGGTCCGAGGAGCCTTCTGCCGCCAGTTTGGGTCAGCTTCACCCGTTTGCCCCTCACCGTGCGGCTGGTGAGGGTCTTGAACTCGGGCACCTCCTCTGCGGCAGATTTGTTTCCGTCAGCCACTTTCGGTTCCAGTTCCTCTGTGGACTGCTCTAGTGAGCTCAGATAAGATGAAGAGACCATCGGAGAGATCCAGCTGGTGCTGCTGCGAGTGCCTACAGTTCGGTTTTTACTGGGCAGAAAGCTCTGAAGAATCTGGGTCTTGTTGGATGTAAAGCTTGAGATTGAGCCATCTGCTCTTGCAATATTTGGAGGCATTTTAAAGTCACCACTGCTACCTGGCTCCCTGTCATCTCTTTGACTGTACAACCTGTAAATCCTGATGGGTTTGGGTCTGGAGACCTCAGAGCTCCTGAGTTCAAACCCTTTGAAACTTGGTTTGGGTTTGACGGGCGAGTCTGCACTCTGAGGTAAAGCTTTGGCTCCCTCAAGTGGTTGACTGCCATATCCTTCTAGACCAAACCTTTCCCTGTAGAGCCTGAATCTGTTCTCATTTCTGTTCATGCTTGCCCCGGATTCAGGCTGCTGACTTTTGGGAGTTGTTGTGAAGATTTGAACAGTGGTTGTACTGCTGACTTGGGTTACAGGAGAAGGTGGACTTGTTTTCACCATGCCCAGTTTAGCCAGTGTGGTGGTAGCAGCTCTTCTCTGGCCAAAGCTGTACTTTTGTGATAAAGAAGGATAAGCATTTGAAAATTTAAACCCAATGTCTACTCCTTTATCCAGAGTGGACTGTGTTCTGTCTGCAGAGGAGGGACCAGACGTCTCCTTTGCAGGTTTCCTCTCAGGGTTGGTGAGCCCATCGAGGCGATTAAATCTTTTAACAGACCAACTTGCTGCGTACTCCTGTCTCGGCTCTCTTGAAGTCACGTTGACTTGGTCCAGTACACCAAATGCCTTTCTGCCATCCTGAGAATGAACCGCAGAGACAAGATTTTTCTGTTTCTTGTCCTCTGAAACACGATGCAGAGAAAAAGGATGCAGAAAACCTGGTGTAGAGGCTGCGGCCTTGTGTGGAGTGGGATAGAAAATGACCCGCGGTCTACCAAAACCAATATGGGCTTCAGATTCCTCCTCGTTTGGGCCTGTTCTGGTATAATGGTTGAAATTAGAAATAAATTTACTTTTCTCTTGCATCCCAGATAGGCTTTGCTTCTGGGCCCAGTCAGCAGTATTTCTCTGTCCTCTAAAAGCTTTTTGCTCAACATTTGTCACGGTGTAAGTCTGAGCTGGAGAGTCTTTAACGAGATACGACTGGATGTTGTTGTGTTCTAGCATTTCTCTACTGCTTACAGAGTTTTGGTTCTGTGGGAATTTTGAGATGGACGTCAGCCTTTCTTGGCCGGGGTTTCGTTTAATAACGCTTAAACTGTTGCCGAGAGACTGAGCACCACCCCAAGCCTGATTTGTAAAGTCAAGGACGTTTTTTGGTTGTATCCCACTGGCACTGCTCTGGACTCTGACCATCAGCAGCTGATTTGTTTCTAAAAAGTCACTGCCAAGCCCTCTTTGGGTTAGAAGTTGAGCACTCTGAAGTCCACCTGTCTGGGATGGAAAAACAGAATTCAACTTTCTTGCAGACCTGTCTTCATCTACCTTTGATAAGGGAGTTATTGGGATTCCTCCTTCGCTGCCTGGTCCTTTGTATGGGGAATGGGAGGTGAAAATGATGCTTGCTGGCCTCATCATTCCACCTCTCAGTAGTCTGGTTATTTTCACTCGAGGCCGCGCCTTATCCAGGCTGTTCTGACTGTAACTAAAGCTACCTTGAGTAAAGTGGATGGGATGGGAATGATGGTTGCTGATCGATGGGGCGTCTGCTGGTGTTTGGACTTGTCGATCTTCGCCCTGCCGACCAGCTAAGGAGGGAACCTGTTGCTCAGGACTGAGTCGTCTCAGGACGCTGTACTTCACTCTCTTTGGGATTATAGGTACTGCTGGACTAGCTGAGAAAAAAGGAATACAACAAATGTATGCATTTATTAAATGTCGAATGATTAAACTGGTGATAAAGTTCTGGTCAGACGTTTACATACATTCATGAGAACGACTGGTTCCTTTTGGCCTTTTAATAATTAATGTGACACATTTTTCATCCAGTTAAAACATTCAACTTCAATGTCAACAATAAAAAAAAGGGTACAATTTTATGTTTTTGATGATTTCTCATTAAAAATGGCTTAAAATTCATGCATTCATCCATGCTAATATTGACTTAATCACTTCCGCAGCCCAAAACAAGAACAGGGGGGAAAAAAAAAAAAAAAAAAAAAAAACAGGACAACGATGCTTAACAACATGGTTTAGGATAGTTAATGTAAGCTGCCTCACATTTCAGGAATATTCCCAATCTTTGCATTGTTGAAGTTGAAAGGATTTTGTTGAAAAGTGGGGTCTGTTTCAGTAACCCAGCTTTTTTAGATTAAGTAAGACAACTTTAAGCATAATGGGAGGTCAAATATTTTAGATTAGATGGAACTGGACTATACAAAACTAGATTTGAATTTGACTTCATGATTGAACTGAGAGGAACCGAATTTGAACTTTAAAACCCATTTGAAAACAATACACACCAGAACACCTCTGAAGCTAGTTTAGCATTGCTACATTGGAAGCAGAGCTCATGCTCACCTCTGTCAGCGTGTGAACACATTACAATCAGTATGACAGCTGCACACATCCCCACAAAGAGTCTGCAGAGAGAAAAACACACCTTGAGGCTTCCTTTTCTTTCTCAAGAACTGCTTTGTTGTCATTCAGGATTACCAGTAATTTTTTAACTCCGAATGTAACTTGAAGAAGCATTAAAACCAGCCATTTACCGTGAGAAGAGAACACAGCTGCCAGACATGACTGACAATTTCCTCCAGGTTTGTATGATACTCGAAAGAAAGGACTAAAAATAGTGGCAGTCGTGTTTTCACGCGACTCTGCTGTGGCGTTGAGAAGCTGTGCTGCTGCTGATTGGAGGCAATGCAGTTCACCTGGCGGCAGGTAACCTGCTTAGCCCGCATTAGCATATTATATCTGCTTCCGTCACATTTTGGCAAAAAATGTTCTTTATTGTTCATCATATTTTCTTCTTCATGATTTTTTTAATTAACTCTAAGTTTTAATGTTTTTTTTTTTTACTTTTTATAACTTGTTGATTCACGCAAAGTTTTCCAAATGTACCATGCACTCACAAAAAAACAAGCAACAATTATTTAAAACAATAAGCAATTTATTAGTCTCTATAAATACAATACTGTAAAAAATATATAGCTCATTCATTAAAAAAAATAAATATTAAATAAATCCACTTGAGGATCATTAAAGCACCTTAAAGCAAACTTCTTTTTTTGGCAGGGAAATATTAAAAGTGGACCATTACAATAAAGCATTAAAAATAATTATTATGTGTCCATCTGTCTTGCCAGCAAGATTTCATGATCTTCATCCAGTGCAACAATAAATATCACGTTATGGTTGTGTGAGCAGCTCAGAGCATGAAGCAGGACATCATGGCCATGTTCCTCAGTTCATCACTGGTCATACAATCTGTAAAACAGACAAAAGACGAGGTCAGGAATGAAGCTTCAGAAGACCAAAGTAGTTCATATCTAGGTAAGAAAAACTGGGCATTTAATGCCAAAGAATATTGTCCTATGAATGTTTACATCACGCTGTAACTTCATTGATCTTCACTAAATATTTTAATACCCCAGACTGGTTTGAACAAAGTGACAAGTTCAACAATAATTTGATTAAAGTCAATGGTTCAGTAACAGTCTATGTAGAGGCGGTTTTAAAATGTTATTTTTGCTAACATTCTATTTTATATTTAACTTCTTTGTTTTAAATAACACAAACAAATTTTAGGTTATGACTCTAAAAAAACACACTAGAGCTTAAAAAAACCTTTGGACTAATTAATTTGGAGTTAGTCCGAATTTACCATTTATTAAAACACCCAATTGAAATATTAACAAATAGACGAGCTATTTAAACAACTGTTTAATGGTATAATAATAATAATAATAATAATAATAATAATAATAATAATAATAATAATAATAATTTACAATATTATGAACTACCAATAAATGATCATCTGTTTACCATTTGGTCTCTGTCGAGAGCTTTTGCCGCTTATCTTCCTCCAAACTTTTGTCCAGGACCGCCGGAGCCTCCCACCTCTGAGCCCCGCGGAGGAGTCACTATCTTCGGCTTCAGTCTCTGGGACTTCCCCCTCACACTCCGGAGCTTCTCCGCCTTCCTCCTCCTGCTCCTCGTCGCCGTCGTCCGGGTCCTCCTCCCGGTCTAGGACCCCCGCGGTCATCAGCCGCTCCAGGGCGGACTCATCCACCCTCAGCTCGGTCCTGATGTTCCCCTCTGCGGTCAGCGGGGTGCTGTGTCGGCATAGCGGGCAATCTATTGACCGGTCCGCCCCCGGCAGCAGCGGGCGGCTCCAAGCCCGGAGGCAGCTCTCGCAGAAGGTGTGCTTACAGTGGAGCTCCCGTGGGCAGCGGCGAGCCGCGTTGTAGGTCCTGTAACAAACTCCGCACTCAATCTCTGAGATCATGTTCGATGTTTTTCCTCTCTGTTGTTGTGTATGATCCGGTGTCGGAGCCTTCGCTCCCTTTTTAAAGTTCTTCCCCGGAACGGGAGGGACCAGACTGAACGAGGGTGCATGACGCAACGAAACCTTATGGGACTGTGTGACGTGACGGATCCCCACACACCCAGCGGGACATTGAACTGACAGTGTTCTGTTCATTATTTATAGATCATTACCAAACGCACTCAGACGCAATCCATCGAGTACAGTTTCACAGAAACAACTGAACGGAAGACATTGCTTTGTCTAAATAGTGTTACAAAGAAAGGCGAGAAGACATAAATAAACACTTAATGTTAGCGATTCTAAAATATCAGTGTTGAACATTTTTATTCAATTCAGATTTAAATCTATCTATCTATCTATCTATCTATCTATCTATCTATCTATCTATCTATCTATCTATCTATATATATATATATATATATATATATATATATATATATATATATATATATATATATATATATATATATATATATATATTAGTAGACAAAGCTTGACCACAATCAAACTAATCAAAGTCAAGTTGGCTTTCCTATTATAGTAATATCCTTTTTCAACATTTGCCCTACATGTCCTTCCCGTCTCTCCTGACCCCGTGGAGGGAGTTTTTTTTTCTCCAGACATCGTCCCTCCTACCAGCGTTTCCAGCATGAGCATGAACTCCTTTCATGGTGATATCCGCTGGGATCTGGGCCAAAAATCACAAACTGAAAGCACTGTGTCAGAGTGTGTATGTGTGTGTTCCTCTGTCTTAGTGTGCAGATCTAACAGTGTTTTTCAGATCTTTTGTTTAGAGCCTTTTTTTTATGCCTTCCTGCTCTTTCTTTCAGAGCTGAACTTACCGTAAACTCTATTCGGTCATGTCGGATGCAAGCTGAGAGACGGGAAAAAAAAAAAAAAAGAAAAAAAAGGGGGGAGGTTATTACAAAAAAAAAAAAGAAAAAAAAAAGAAACAAACCCCAAACTTTTGGGAAAAGAGTTGGAAGGAAGTCAAGCAGTGTTACAACTTTTTTGTTTAACAATAAGTGTCTTTCTCAGCAGGTCGAATGAAAAGAACATAGTCAGTAATGCAAACATAAAACATTAACGGTTATGTCAATATTAAAACTGCAAAACCTATAATAAAAGCATACTTTTTACATACAGTCACTAAGATGTTTCCTGCTGAACGGCTGGATGATGTATGAGTTCCTACTAAATTCAGCAATATTTCAGTTTTTGCAACCTAAATGTTAAAAAAAACAATGATTCACATCTGACAAACCACCATCTGAAAAACATCTGTCCACATCTTCAGTGATTGCATACAAAGTAATGATTAAAAATGTTCATCTTATCTGTGAAAAATTTGAGTCAATAATATAATTAAAAATCTAATTGATTAATAAAGAAATAAGGTGATTTGCTGCCTCTGAAAGCTCAAACGCCATGTTAAAGATGGCCCCCTGCTGAGTCCTCCACCGCTCTGTCTCTCTTATAGCCAAACTGAACATTGTGTTTTTCACCAGCTTTTCAAATTTCTTCAAAACGAGTTTCAGATCTGAGTTTGCTGACTGTCTTAGATACTCTGATATCAGTTTAACGTTCAGCTTAAACAATAATTTTACACTCTTTGCTCTCTGATAAAAACCTTTTCCACCCATTTTTCTTCATCCATCATTCTGTAACAACGCCAACCAAGCAGCAAAAGACTATTGGCTTCTTATGAGTCACTGTAAAACACATGTACGTCTTCCAAAGCAGTGCTTAAAGTCCATGGCAAAAAAAAAAAAATTAGAAGTAATCTGGTCTTTTAAATATTAAATATGATGCAAGGCACTATGCTTAATACTATATAACTAAAACAAAGTTATACTGCAGAGGTAATACACCTTCAGATATGCTAGTACATAGTCAGTTCAATGTTCTGTGGCTTCAAAACAATCCAAATCATTATACCTCCACTGCCGTGCTTGACTGCAGGTATAGGGTTGCTGTCCTTATATGTTGTTCCCTTTCACCCTATCTTATCTTATCCTAATCACTAATCATCTCATCTTATCTTATCACTAACCTTATCTTTGGTTAATGGCCAAAACATGTTTTCTAGGTGGCTGAGATGAAACTGAAGGTGCTTTCAGAAGAAGAAAAAAACGCAGATCGTGTTGTGATAACCTTTTTAAACCAGCCGAACCTGTTCCGGTTTTTCCATGTGCTCTCTTATCGTCTTGTTGAGCTTGCAGAGGCTTGTTTTAGGTGTAGTTCTGGGCTTTTTTTAGATGCATTTACTGAGAATTGCCCCGTCTTGCCTCTGGGTGCAGCTCCTATGAATCAAGATTAGCAACTGTTTAGAAAGGTTTCCGAATGCAAACAGTGTTGATCTCCATGGGATCGTCTGAAATTGTTATGAAACACCTGGAACACCTTCATCCCTGGGATCTCCAGGGTAAATAAATAACAACACAAAGTGAGTTCTCACACGCTGTTCTTCATTTTAGGCTGCTTCGTATGCTATCTGAGGATCAAACGATTTTTTTTCCTTTTTGTATGTTTTGATATTTGAAAGCTGAACGACGTGTTGTCTATTTTTACCCCAGGCACGCAGAGCCGCCTCCAAATTAACTTCCTTCCAATGAACAACCACTGCGGTAGGAAAATAACCGCTTTTCAAAGTTCCGCTTAAGTCAATATAATTCCTAACGAGTCTTTGCAAGTCAAGTGGAAATCAAACGAGCAAGCCCATTGGTTTTTGTTGTTGTTTTGTCTTGTTCAAACCCCACTTTAACTACAATGGATGTCCACTCATACCCTTCAAAATGAGGCTTTGTTGTAGATTATGAAACAGTGAGTGTCTTTCCATCCATCACTCGTCTATACCCACAAATCCTTGCAGGGGTTTGGGGATTTCTGTGGTGGTCATGAGGCAGGAGTCAGGGTACAGGGGTGTCAGACTCACTTTCATTGTGGGCTGTATCAAAAATCTGAAAGTTTTTAAAGGGCCGGTTGTGGCAAAACGTATCGATAAAGCCAATGAAATTCTTAACTTATCAACGAACAGCTATTTTCGGATTCAATAAGTGTCTAAAATGAAATTATATTGAGCATCTTTTCACACTGATCAGTCCATCCAGGACTCTGTGATTGTTGTTTTTGTGGTTCTTTGCAATCAAAGTCACAGATTTTGTGTGCTAATTTAAAATGGTTTGTAAGGAATTTTTTTTTTTACAATATTTGCGCCAATGTGTGATGTTAAATGTGACTGTTTATTAATCGCTGTATTGGTCACAGACTATGACTTGACATCAAGGAAGGCTGAGGCAACAGTTTCTCAAATCCAGTGTTTTAGGCCAATTTTGATTTAAAAATGTCAGTAAAATCAGAAATAGTGTTGGGGATCTGTTGATTTTGTGTGAACTTTGTGGATTTGCGAAAAAACTGGAGGGACTTATTGATGTAATTTGGAGTCTAGAGCGAAACATAAAAAGCTACGGCGGGCCAGATTTGGCCCTCGGGCCTTGAGTTGAACACATGTGGCCTACACAGATTGCCAGTGCATCACAGGACTTGTCAAAACTTTCAAAGACAGATGGTGTCGCGGCCTTCTCGTTTCCAAAAAACAATATTCCAACAAAGGCCGTGGGTGTTAACAGGTGGTTTTTGATTTGAACGCACTTCCGATTTAATTTGTTTGAAAAAATATATTCTTTATTTCTTGTAAAAATAGCAACAAAATAATTACCAAAAATGTCCTACAACTTAGTCAAAAATGACAGTAAACTTAAAATGACGTTTCAAGTACAAAAAGGTGAAAAGTGAAAGTGGTCAAAAAATCATTTACAAAAAACCTCCCATCCACACACCAAACATTTATCAAACAATCGCTCCACTCAGCACCCGGTGTGTTTTAATTACTCAAATTAATGGGAGGGTCTAACCAATTACCAACATACTCTGATCAATTCAAATATACAAATTAACTACAGATTTTGGATCTAAACTTAACTTAAATAAATTCTAAACTCCCCAAAATAGAAAACTAAATTAGTAGAAATTACAAGTTGCAAACATTGCATAAATGGCCACCACAGATGGATAAAACCGAGTCGACATTCAATTACAATATTTTGAAACTGGAGTTGGATTTGGCCTTTGCTCCTGTCTTGATTGACAGATAAAGCCTTAAAGATAATCTGTTTGGTGAAATCCGATGCATGTAAGATAATTTAACCCCAAATCAACAAAACCCCACTTAAAAAAGACAATAGGAGAGTTTCCTTCTCCATTTAACAAATTGACTCACCTCTTAACAGCTTAAATAAGCAGGTAAAACTATCTCCATGGGAAGAGCTATTTTAAACAATCAAAAATAAGTTTTTGATTATGTTGCCAGTTGTGGTTTCTCTAGAAACCAAGCAGAGTGAGCGTAAGCTCTCCTGAACATGTTGTCCTATCTTTTGCAGATGTCAATAATTAACCAGTTTACACTTCACTGCTTACTCTTGACGTACCTTAGCAGTCATACTCAGCCCCGTTGAGTTTTGATCGTGAAGCTTTCATTTCATATCAACACCTCCACATGAAACGTTGAGTCATCTTTTCACATGAGACACCAGGCTGACCTTCCTTTCCTCGGCTGCCTGTTTATAAATGCATTTCATAATGAAAACCCAGATGCAAGTTGACTGGATGTTTGTTGAGCGTAAGAAAATATCATTTGGTTGAAACTCTAGCTTCCTTTTACGTGTAGGAAGATCTCGAGCGTGTTGATTCCTCTTTCTGTTTTTCCAAGGTTTCAGTCTTGTTTATCACAGAACCTGCTCCGCAAAGCAGGTTTGGATCCTATTTATCGGCCTGATCAAGATTGTTTAGTCGCCTAGCTTTGTGAGTCAGATGTTTTGAAGTCTAACAGAGATTCCCATACTTCCTTCTTTAATAATGTGTGTGTAATTATTCCTCGCTTCAGGGAACTTTAAATCCTGCCACATTTCCTGGATAATTTCACTTCCTTGGGGTAAGTATCTGCTGATGTAAGCCGGGGCGCATTAGGTCGTAAACCATCCTATTAGAGTAAACCGTCCTATTAGCACTATTAAATAGGATTGTCTCAACATCAACAAGAGCGCACAATAAAGAGGAGATATCAGTAATGACTCCCTGCTTCACACTTGTAAACCACAAAGCGCTGACTGTGACGAACCGTAACAACATAATGTGCGAGTCGAGCACTTTAAGTCATGATAAAGAGACTGGGATCTGTCATTTTCTGTCCTTTGTGTCCCGGTTACCTTGTCATCACCAAGGGTTTAATTACTGCCAAGACAAACAAGGAGACACCTCATGAGGGACCAGACGGAGAAGAGGAGAGAAAGCAGGTGAGGCGGAACCAAAACACGGGCTCAGGCTCGTAGCTTTGGAATATCAAAGCTTTGGCTCAAAGGTGCAGAGGCGAGAGGTGATCTGTCTCAGCATGACAACGTTTATGGATGCGTGTGAGAGGGAAAGTACCGATCCTGGGAGGAGGAACTAAACAGAGCTCTGATTGAAAGGCTCTGCTGCAGGTGAGTTTCCGTTTTATCTGCTTCAAGGAAGGGATGATGCCATTTCTTTTTGTTAATAATCCAACCACTTTATATCATTTTGAGCTCACAGTTAACGACTTCTTCTTCAAGAAATTAACGCACTAGGTCATGTGATGTAGCTTATTTTGGCTCTGATTGCACAGATGTGTCTCTGAAATGTGAGAGGGAAGACTTCAGGTTGCCATGGGGTTATGCAGAGGAGACCCAATCTCCAAAGCAACAATCCCACCTCCCACAACCACCCTCGGCATCACATTGGGTTTTAGTTGTTCCCATGTGAAAATGGGAAGCAAACAGGCGCAGATGTGTCGATCTAAGTTAAACAAATCTACAAACAATGTAATGTGCTTATTTCTACAGAAATTCAAAGGATTGATGCAACTTTACCTTATCATTATACATTAACAAATACGTTCACCTGGAGCTTCTTTTTAACTGCTTACAAGGTGTTTGAATTAATTAAGAGTCCAAATTTACTATATGTTATGAAGTATGAAGTCATTTTTGACAGTGAATGTGTCCGTTCAGTTTTTACTTATGAAAGAAAGTCAGATTTAGGATGTCTGTGAATGAACTGAATCTACTGAATATGGCAACAAAGTTGCAGTAGTTACTATTTCCCAAATAAGGGTTAAATCAGACTGGCTTGTTAAAAAATTAAACAAATATAAGTCTGTGATGGGAACAGGTACGTAGAGTCTGGAGGTCCATAAATCCTCTTAAAATTCGAATCCCTCCTACAACAGCAAACTATTTAAGTTTAGCAGTTTTTATCAAATTACTTGGTAAAAGAGAAAATAAATCCTTATTTTCCGGATCTGTGGCCTTATATAACCAGCAACTGGAAATGTTCCTGTTTGCCTTGGACAGTCACCCCATTGGCTTACTGGCTCGTTTGACATACACCAAACACTGAATCATGCCTCACAGTCTGTGACTGCTCATGTTTAGACCCCTTGGACTCACTTTTCTCCGTTTAGTTGTTGATAATGAAGAACATATGCGAACCTTTCCATTATTTCATCTGACAGCCGGCTCTCTTGTCGTGTTTCCTTTCGGTCAGTGCAAGTCTGCAAGCGCAGTTTTTACTGTAAGCTAATTTGCATGTTAGACATGAGACCGGTTAAAAAGATGAAGCAATCTCATCCAAAAACAATCATTTCATTGTCAGTGGTGGTGTTCTGTGGAAGAAAATATAGTTAAAAGACACAAACATCCACAAAAGCTAAAGAGTAATGATCTGCTGCTAGCATAAAACAGCAAGTTTTTTTTTTTGTTGTTTGTTTTTTTTTTTTACTCTGATGTTGGAGGTGTGCTGTAATAACTGTGGTGGTGAATCTGGTGGGTTTGGACAGGATTCAGTATTAATCTGAGTTCTGTCATTCTGAATTGTTTTCAGTAACGTATAACTAAGGGGGGAAATAGCATCCATGTGATTTTCAGATGCTAAAATTTGATATATTTGCTAGTACATTAAGATTTTATCATAGCATCGCATAATGTAACATTGTGAGTTTACGTTGATCTCCACATTATTTGTGCACACATGCTCCAAAATTAATGGATGAATCTGGACTGGGTCAACACATAAAAGACAAGCTAGCAGATCAGCGGAATGAGACAAAACCTTGGTTTGTACAAATTCTTTTAAAAACCAATGAAATATGAATGCTTAACAGAAGGAAAGTAGTATTTTAGAACAAATATTATTATTACTGAAAGAATAAGTAGTTCAAAATTTAATGTAGAGTGAAAGAAGTATGAAGTCAGATCTTTTCTGCTTCCCCCATCTTGTTTATTAACTTTCACACAACTTTCATGCCAAGCCTGACACTTTTTATTTTGTTTTCTTTTTCTTTTTCTAGTTCTGTTTCTTCATTGTTTTTGAGCATATCCATATTCTGCCATGATCAGGACAGCTGCTGACCGAATCCAAAGGAAAAATGTTGAAAGGCCTTTCATGAATCCCATAGGACTGGGGATCAAGATCACTTTTGAAGATGATAAGAAAATTCGACAAACTGGAAATCAAACACTTATATACCAAAATCAAAGAAGCATAAACGACCAGGTTCTCTCTGTTGTTCTCAGATCCACTTGAAAAATGAACTTCCCCACTTCCAGTAATTATAAACCACACAGCGCACAAGTCCCCTTTACCAGCTCCTCTCAGACTGTTTGTACTTCCCCTCAAGATTTCTCATGTTCACTGACTCCTGCGGATGACTAAACCAAAAGTCAGTGAACGTGCTCCAACACAGGTCGACATTTGGGGAAAGGATTTCAGTGATTTATTAATTTTTGTTCACAAAGCCGCCTTTTCTTTTATTTTCCCCCATCCTGTGCAGTCATGCATACGCACACACAGCATGTGGAGGAAGGGGGGAATGCTGTGACTCATGATGCGAATATGTTGATTTAAGTTGTATAAACAAAGAAGTCATTCAGGGGGAGCAGATGCTGGTTAGAAGCTATAATTTCCTGGAACACTTCTCCTTTTCTCATTACAGATTTTCCCAGTTTTTGGAAAAGATTCATCCAAACATTTCCCCAGAGTTCAGCTGTGTCCATCCGTCTTCCAGGGATGCCCGAGGATGTGGTTCAAGGATCCCAGCAGGAGGAACCAGTTAGTGCATCCCCCTTTCCCAGCACCAGCCCTGGGGAGGCCGTAGATTTAGAGTGTCCCATTTGCTACCAGGAGTACAACCAGTACAACAAAAGCCCCCGGATGTTGGAGTGCCTCCATGTCTTCTGCACAGAGTGCCTGCAGAGGATCCAGCTCAACCCCTGCGACCCCGCTGATCCCCGCGGCGGCCCACAAGCCATCCCCTGCCCCCTCTGCCGCCATTTAACCCCTCTGCGCACTGGGAACGCCCTCGCTTTGCCCTGCAACTCCCAAATCATGTCCAGGCTGCCCCGCGTGGCGGCCTTCCGGATGCCGGCGACAGTTTCCACACGCGTGGCGACGGTCACCCAGAGAGTGGTGCTCTCTCTGGAGGGCGCCAGCAGCGGCGGCGGAGGCGGCAGGGACAGCCACTTCATCATCCTGCCCACCGTCAGCCTGCAGGTGCAGCAGATGCACCCGGACAGGCCGTACGGCGCGGCCGCGGACCTGGTGGGCGAGGAGGGGGTCATACAGCAGAGCCGGAGGACCCTGCTGTGCGTGCAGCTGCTGGCCGTCATCTTCTGGGTGCTGTTCGTGATCACCTGCGTGGTCGGCGTGGTGTTTGGGCCGCACTTGTTCAACAGGAAATTCTAATTGGGTGGGGTCACTTTGGTAGCAGATGCTCCTGACATAAAGACAATATGTGAGTGGTTTCTATTTAGGCTGATGAACATTTACTTAAATACCTCATTGTGGATGATGGCTGGTGCTATTGCTACTTTTTCTTTTTTTCTTACACGGATGAAGGGCTCCCTCTAGTGTCACACGGCAGTAATAGATTCTACACATCTGTTCTTTGGCATAGTTGGCCGCTTTATTCGATGCACTTCGCAAGAATTATTCCTCAGAGATTTTGGTGTAAATTGACTTTATATCATCACAGCTGCTGCAGACGCGTCTGCTGTTCATCCCAGAAGTGCTTTACTGATGAGAACAAAGTACCCATCAGAAGATGGGCACACGATGTCCATGCAGAGAGGACGAGGGCAATTAAAAGAAGGTCACAAGTGGCTATTTGAGGTTCTGTTGTCCTTCTGTCATCTGGAAGCACTCTGCTCTTTCTCCTCTGACATCAAGTCCTTTTTGTCCATACAACCACCTCTCAGTGGACATTTTCCTCCTTTCAAACCATTCTCTGTTGTGCATCAAAACCCCAGCAGCAGGCACAAAAAAAAGTCATGTTCAAAGTCACTTTAACCCTCTTTGTTCCCCATTCTGAACTTCAGCAAATATTCTACACTAGGTCTAGATGCCTTTGTGATGAACTGATGTGCAGTCTTAGTGAAGAATCAATTAGAGATGTGTACCTAATGAAGTGGCCAGTAAGTGAAGCTTCCTCTTTAGCGACATGTGATGCTTGATAATATTATAACAAAAGATGTATTTGGACCAGAACTGCTCTGCTAAGGATTCCTGCCTCAACTACACAAAATGTTCCAAAGTATCCTGAAGGAATATGTTTTTTAAAAAATGGTTCATTTATGCTATTATTGTAATTATCATTATCATCACCATTATTATTATGATTATGATGATTATTATTGTTACTACAATGTTTATCTGGCCTGGGACCCATTTAAAAGTGTCTGAGGTGAACAATGTGAATATGAACAGCAGTACTGATTCTGTAATGTAATATTCCTTTTTCTGTGTGTGTGTGTGTGTGTGTGTGTGTGTGTGTGTGTATTTTGTGCTTTGAGTGTTTTTTATTTGTTTAAGAGAGACACATTTATTAGAAATACTAATATTTGGAATCTGATTACCTTCAATAATCAGGATTAGAATTTCTGAGGAATTTTAAGTGATTATAAAACTAAGGAGAGAATTTTTAAAAAAGAAGAAATCTGAAATTTATTGTTTGGAGGGTTTTCTGAGCTCTTGTTTGTTTATTGTCCCCCCCCCTCCTTTGGTAAAACTCAACATTCATGAAAATTAAAACTGTGACCATTCATCAAATTAAGCTGGTTAAACAACACTGATGAAATTAAAAAGCTTAATTTGAAAGTATCTTAACTCATATTAACTATAAGCTGCGACTGAATCTCTACTTGTTCCTGTTTATGTGCAAGCTGTGTGTTTGCAGCACAGCTAGTGGTTATAGGAAGTTAGTAAATTGAACATAAGGCAGATAATTGATTGAAAATACACTTTTATCTGGTGCTAAGGAGGATATTGCATTAATACTGGGTATTAAAAGCTACCACCCAGCCTGCCTGAAGCAGTAATTTTGTAAGCGATTTTCTAGATTTTGTTGCAAATTTATGTGAATGAGCTAAAAGATTTTTTTTTGTGTGAGTTTAAGTTTTTTGTAAAAACACCAACATCTCATGTCTGTAACAGACCTGGGTATAACCAAAGCATCGGCTGCTGAGGTCCAATAAACTGTTGTTACTCTAAGAGATGCCTTGGCGGTCATTTTTTCCTGATGCCACATTAGGCACAGACTACTGCTTGAATATATTTTCTTCTGGTATAAATTTGATAATTACAGTAAAAATATATATATTTTATGTCTTCTGGCAACAGCAGACATAACAGCTGAGCAGTAAAACATAACCCATCAGAAGGACATTTGGTAGATGTTATTTATTACCCCGATTCATTTTATGTTGTCCATTCATTATTTAGACACAAAAGGTTTTTTTTTAAAGATCAATATAGGTATATTATATTATGAACATATTTTCCCTTTTTGGTAATTGCAGTTGTCAACTTCAGTTCTTATTGAAACCAATATTCAGTAAATATATTTTAAACCCCTGTAAACTGTCTTTGTATTTAAAATGTCTGTTAAATATATGTAAAACTCATTTTATTTCTACACCATAAATGGTTGGGTATTATCCAAACCCAGGATGCAACATTTTTACAGAAATCCTGATTCTGACCAGTTTCTTTTCTTTCTGTCTTTCTTTCTTTCTTTTTTTTTTTTTTTACATTTTGAGCAATTAGAAACCAGACATGATAAAAATACAATTGAGGAAAAAATATCCTGAAACTGTAAAAATAAATAAATTAATAAATTAATAAAATAAACATTAAATTATGTCCACAGACTTTGAATGAGATTCAGTGACATAGTTCTCTTTCTTTAGTTGTAAAGCATATAAAATACTTGAAGACAAAAATGATCAAAAGTACATAATCTTATCAAACTATCTGTATTTTGATCAATATAGCAAAAGTTTTGAAACAAAAAAAGTAATAGTGGCAGTTGTGAATGAATTGGCTGTGGTTCAAAGTAGGTAGGACCACAAACATCCAGCAAATTCTACTCTAAATCAGACATAGATGCGGCTTTTGATTAATCGTGGTTATTTACAGCAATTGTTCTGAAGGAAAGAGTGAGCCATTTTCTGATCTGGTCACAGTAGAAAAGTTGCATGCCTGATTTGCAATAAGAAAACAAACATACCAAAGTCTTTGCCACAATGATTTACAGATGTTTATATTTGTTTTGCTTTTAACAGTGTTACAAATGTCTTCATTTGGAGCAAAGCAGAATCCCAGTCAAATTCCTTGCTTGTGTGCTCAAACTTAAAGTTGTGATTCTTTTCTGTAAAAATCAAACATTGTTTTATTTAAATATTGTCTGTTTAGCTCATTGCAGAGCAGGTAAAGATCAAATAAAACACATTAAATTGAATTTTGGCTTCTTTAATTAAGAAAAAATGGACAAAATTTCTGAACACCCCTGAATTAATTACTAGCCTTCCACTATACCTGAGGATTTCTTCACCTTCATACGCCATCTTTTTCATTTTTTATTTAAATTTTTTTAAAGAGAATTTGCTTATTACTAATATAAACTTTACATAACCTTATTCTAAAACCAGTCTGTTTTAAGGAACATAATTCTTTTAAATATACCTGGCACTCCTTGAACTCCCTACCTGGTAGAGGGAGCATGGCTGGGACAGCACGTAAAAAAAAAAAAACAACAAAAAAAAACCTGGCGGGAGGGAGGGGGGCAACGTCTTTACGTCACACGCCGCGTTGGCTTGCAACAAGCGGTGAAAAAGTTTTTCGACACCCCCAACCCCCTCCTCTTTATGTTTTTGTTGGGGGAAAAGTTGCTGGAAGTTTTAGCCGTGTGGATGTAGCGTGTTTGCCGTTTTCTGCCCCTCGGTAACGGAGGGAAGGAGCGTCGGCGCGAGCGTGAAGTCGTCCACGGAGGTTTAGAGCGAGGACTTTCCAGCGCTTTGTGTCCGTGGGCTCGGGCTGAAAAATATCAGCGGCCCCGTCCCGTCCCGTCAGCGCTGCATCTCGTTAGCTACCTAGCTGAGTCCCCAACAAAGTTAACGCTACCTCGGCTCCCTCGCAGCCTGTCTCTCTCCGGGAAAACGTCCAGCTTTTATCCAGCGCCGAGATGGCGGAGACCAAAATCATCTATCACATCGACGAAGAGGAGACCCCGTACTTGGTGAAGATCCCCATAGCTGCAGAAAATATCACCCTGCTGGATTTCAAACAGGTCCTCAACAAGCCAAACTACAAATTCTTTTTCAAGTCTATGGACCAAGACTTTGGGTGAGCTGCTCTGATTTTCCTCTCTAATGCTTTTGGTGCATTGCACAAGCAGGAAAGCCACGAAATGTAGTCTTAATTCACAAGTAGTGTCTGAGGGCAGGAGCAGGCACTTAAACTTGAACCAAATTAGAGATCGGAGGGGTATTTCCAACTGTAGCTGCAGGGAGAATAAATTAAAAAATATATTCTTAAAAGTTGCTTCTTCAGGTTGGGACATTTCTCACTAAACATCATCATTACAATGGGAAACATTCCCTGTTCCTGCTGCTTTTCTGTGCCCTAATCCTCATCCCTCCCTCCCTTCCTTCCTCCCTCAGCCCATCATCTGGTGAAATCCTTGCCTTTTCTTTCCTTCAGGACTGAAGCCAGGGTTTTCTCCCCCTCCTCCCTACCTCTTCAACACTTTGGCCTGCCAGCCATCCTTTCATTCCCTGGCTTTCTCCTGACCCTCTCTGAGAAATAGCTGTCTCCTCTATCAATTAATCCTCTTTTTTTCTCTCTCTCTCTCTCCCCCTGTGTGGCTGCTGTGCATTTTCCTGCAGAGGAATGTGTGTTTGTGGTTTATTCACCCGGTGAGACCCTCAGGGTTTCAGTTAAATGCATTGTAGTTTTGGATGTTTTTTTTCCCCCCATGTTGGATGGCACCAGGGCTGCAGAGGCAAACCCGAATTCAAGCTTGCGATTGTGCAAGATTGCTTTACTTTAAGTCTAGGTAGACTTGGCACTCCCCACACAGAAGGAGATTATTCATACGTCCTTTTATAAAAATAAATAAATAATTTTCTCATATGACGACCATAAAATTAATGACATTTTGTAATAGTATATGTGCTAAAAAATACCAATCTGCTTTTTTCACTTTTGATACCGATACAGATATCTGTGGTTTAGGATCATCCGATACGATCCAATAATCTGATGATTTTGACTCGACTTGAAACTTTTTTTTTTCAAACACGTACATGAATGTACTGAATTACAAATTTATTTGATAACTCTGCACCAGTACAACACACTGAAACACACAATTAGATTCACAAGCTTGGTCAACATAAGCAGCACAACTTTTAATTTGTTCAGTCAGCGCAATTAGGAGTATAACGGCAAATGTGAAGTAAATAATAAAGAAACTGAAATTGATGAAAAACAACAGCTTGACTATCTTGGTGAAACATTGAAAAAAAATGACGACAAACCTTTCAAATGGTTCAGAAAGTGCAATTAGGATTTCTAAATATAACGTGAAATAAATAATGAGGCATGACATCGCTCAGTACACAAAACACAGAATTGGACTGAATAGATATACCCTCATAGATTGGGCACATCATCACAATACCCGAGCTAAATGTTTTTCAATATCAGGACCTAAACAAATATTAATATAGGTGTGCAATTGTGAAATATAAAGACGATTATACGCGGTTTGTTAAATCTGTTATAAGTAACATGAAAAATGTGTATTTGTATTCAGCTGGGAGAAGATGCAGAAGAAGGTGTCCCGGTCAGATGAGACCTTAATGGAAGTTTTTAACCAAAACATGATGCATGCTGGGAAACGTCACACTGCACGCCATCCTCAGCAGAACATCTCCACAGTAAAACACGGAGGTGGCAGCATCATGCTGTGGGGGGAATGCTTTTCAGTCATCTCTGTTGATGGGGAAATAAACCCTCCACACTTTTAGAAAGTACAGCAAGCTACTGTTCAGTGTGGCTCCTTACAAACTTTTCAGATTTTCATCTTCAACAATTTTAGAAGACCATGCGTCTTTTTGATTCTGCTTCACAATTATCCGCTGCTTTGTGTTGCTTTGTTGCACAATTTTTTTTTAAAATATAAAATCCAGAAAGGTTTGAGAAACACTGCAGAAGGAGGTATTAAAGTAAATCTGATTAATTTAGAATCTCTTGGTTGTAGCTTTGATTACAACCCTACGTCAACATGACGTAATATCCTTCTGTCTTCTCATTCTTTTTTTATCATCCCAATTTTCCAGTCACTCTGAGTTTTTGAATTGTGGTCACTGCCGTTATTCAGTGTGTTTGTGGCTGTGATTTTTGACCCATCACAGGATTTTGTGATTATGCACCAGACCGAGGCATTCCGTCAACTACACCAGAGGTTTATTTACTGCTGCACTTGTAAAAATCCCTGCTGACAACGTAAACATACCCAGAGTTTTATAAATTACCTCTTTTGTTTTGGTTTTTCCTCTATTATTTTTTATTTTTTTAGCTGGGACTCTATGTTGAGCCGTTGGTTGGTAAAACTCGAGTTGAAGACGCAGAATGTCC